AAAAAGAGTCCAAAAAACATACACCTGGCCTCTTTTTCTTAAACATTCTTGGAATACTTTTCATAGCAGTGCATATTTACCTCGTTCTATTAAATGGCTGGATAGTTCAATGGATATACCAGGTTATTTAATTTATCTCATAATGTTAGATGGTTAAATTGTTTCCAGACTTTGTTATTGCTAATGATACCCCAGCCGAATTCCTTATACATGATAGATAGATCTTTAGGTATTTCGATTACATAGATCATTTAGACAAAAAGCTATCTGGATTAATTTTCTCTCCTAGGTAGTAAACTGCTTGTAAGTGAAGACAAGGATTTAAATTTCTTTCATTGCCCAGTTTTTGTTACACTGCTTTTCATATATCAAAATCTCAAAAAAATGCAGGTCAAAGACCTAGATTTCATATTAGTTATCACATCTTTTCTGTGTTTTACGTAGCATGAACTGCAACCACATGTTATCATGTTAGCATTGGTTAGAGATGTTGAAGATTTTTCCCTTTCATACAGCATGCATACAGGGATTTGAGGCCTTCCTGATTCTCACCCCTATCAAAGTAGAAACTGTGGGTTCCCTGGAGACCCATGTAGTCCTATAATACATAATCACGTGATAGATTGAATATACAGATGCCTAGAAAGTTTACATAGTTCAAACCACTAGAGTAGCATGATCATGAAAGAGACAATTGGTCAACTCAGTACTAGACTAAGTTCCATTTCACACAAGTCAAAATTTACTAAGCTCTCCCCTGGTAATATGGTAGGATATAATATTTTATCTCCAAAGTTTTAGATAAAGGAAAGAACAAAAGGTTTTATTTTTTCCATATGTTATTGGGGTACAGGTAGTATTTGGTTAAATGAGTAAGTTCTTCAGTGGTGATTTGTAAGATGTGGTGCACCCATTACTCAGGCAGTATACACGGCACCATATTTGTAGTCTTTCATCCCTTGACCCCCTCCCACTCTTCCCCCCAGGTCCCAAAGTCCACTGTGTTCTTATGTCTTTGCATTCTCATAGCTTACCTTCCCCACATGTCAGTGAGAACACATGATGTTTGGTTTTTCATTCCTGAGTTACATCACTTAGAATGGTAGTCTCCAATCTCATCCAGGTCACCACAAATGCTGTTAATTCATTCCTTTTTATGGCTGTGTAGTGTGTAGTATTCCATAGTGTGTGTGTATATGTGTGTGTGTGTGTGTGTGTGTGTGTATATATATATATATATGTACACATATGCGCCACAGTTTCTTTATCCACTCGTTGATTGGTGGACATTTGGTTGGTTCCATGATTTTGCAATTGTGAATTGTGCTGCTATGAACTTGCATGTGCAAGTACCTTTTTTGAGTAATGACTTCTTTTCCTCTGGGTAGATATCCAGTAGTGGGATTGCTGGATCAAATATTAGTTTTACTTTTTGTTCTTTAAGGAATCTCCGCACTGTTTTTCATAGTGGCTGTACTAGTTTATGTTCCCACTAGCAGTATAGAAGCATTCCCTGTTCACTTCATCCATGCCAACATCTACTGTTTTTTGATTTTTTGATTATGGCCATTCTTGCAGGATTAAGGTGGTATCGAATTGTGGCTTTAATTTGCATTTCCCTGATCATTAGTGATGTTGAACTTTTAAAAAAATATGTTTGTTAACCATTTGTATATCTTCTTTTGAGAATGGTTTATTCATGTCCTTAGCTCACTTTTTTTTTATAGGGTTGTTTGTTTATTTATTACTGATTTGTTCAAGTTAGTTGCAGATTCTGGATATAAGTCCTTTGTCAGATGTATAGATTTTGAAGGTTTTCTCCCACTCTGTGGGTTGTCTGTTTACTTTGATGACTGTTCCTTTTGCTGTGCAAAAGTGCTTTAGTTTAATCAGGTCCCAGCTATTTATCTTTGTTGTTATTGCATTTGCTTTGGGCCCTTGGTCATGAAATCCTTTCCTAACCAATGTCTAGAAGGATTTTTCCAGTGTTATCTTCTAGAATTTTTATAGTTTCAGGTCTTAGGTTTAAGTCCTTAATCCATCTTGTGTTGATTTTTGTATAAAGTGAGGATCCAGTTTAATTCTTCTACATGTCTTTGCTTCCCACATATCAGTGAGAACATAGCCAGTTACCCCAGCACCATTTATTAAAAATGATGGCCTTTCCTCACTTTATGTTTTGGTTTGCTTTGTAGAAAATCAGTTGGCTGTAAGTATTTGGGTTTATTTTTGGGTTCTCTATTCTGTTGCATTGGTCTGTGTGCCCATTTTTATACCAGTATCATGCTGTTTTGATAATTATGGCTTTATAGTATAGTTTGAAATCAGGTGTGTGATGCCTCCAGATTTGTTCTTTTTGCTTAGTCTTGCTTTGGCTATGTGTGCTCTTTTTTTGCTCCATATGAATTTTAAAATTGATTTTTTCTAATTTTGCGAAGTATGATGGTGGTATTCTGATGGGGATTGCACTGAATTTGTAGATTGCTTTTGGCAGTATGGTCATTTTTATAGTATTCATTTTACACATCCATGAGCATGGGACGTGTTTCATTTGTTTGTGTCATCTATGATTTCTCTCAGCAGTGTTTTCTAGTTTCCTTTCAGAGTTCTTTCAACTCCTTCGTTAGGTATATTCCTAAGTATTTTATTTTATTTTATTGCGGCTATTGTAAAAGGGGTTGAGTTTTTGATTTGATTCTCTGCTTGGTCGAACGTATCATCAGCAAACAGTGACAGTTTAACTTCCTCTTTATCAATTTGGTTTTGTCATATTACCAGGGTTGGTTTTCTGTTTTCCTCCAATTTGGGCAGGCTCTGTCAGAGGGAAGGTTTAGGGCTGAAGACTGTTGTTCAGATTCTTTTGTCTCACTGGATGTTCCCTTGATGTAGACTCTACCCCTTTTCCTATGGATGTGGCTCCCTGTGAGCCAAACTGCAGTGATTGTTGTCTCTCCTCTGGGTCTAGCCACCCAATGAGTCTGCCTGGCTCCAGGCTGGTACTGGAGGTTATCTGCACAGAGTCTTGTGATGTGAACCATCTATGGGTCTCTCAGCCGTGGATACCAGTGTCTGTTCTGGTGGAAGTGGCAGAGGGTGCAACGGACTCCATGAGGGTCCTTACCTTTGGTGGTTTAATGCTTTATTTTTGTTCTGGTTGGTCTCCTGCCAGGAGGTGGAGCTCTCCAGAAAGCATCAGCTGTAGTAGTCTGGAGAGGGACTGGTGGTGAGTGGTGCCCTAGAACTCCAAGATTACTTGCCCTTTGTCTTCCACTACCAGGTTGCATAGGGAAGGATCATCAGGTGACCGCGGGGCTAGGCACGTCTGAGCTGACTCTTCTTGGGCAGGTCTTGCTGCAGCTGCTGCGGGGGGTACGAGTGAGATTCACAGGTCACTGGAGTTGTGAACCTAGGAGAATTATGGCTGCCTTTGTTGATTATGCAGGTTGTCAGGAAAGTGGGGGATAACCAGCAGTCACAGGCCTCAGCCAGCTCCCATGCAAACCGAAGGGCCAGTCTCACTCCCACCATGCCCCCTAGCCAACAGCTCCGCGTCTGTTTCCAGGCAAAGGGTGAGATGGGCTTTGTGTGAGGCTGTCTACCTCTCAGAGTGTTTGGGGTGTTTCCTGGGTGCTGCAGGAGCAGTCTGTTTCCTTCAGAGGGCCTGTGGGTCCTCTCAAGATTGCTGGTTTGTTCTTGCAGTTGATCCGGAGCCAAAATTCACAATGCAAGCCTCCACATGCTGCTCTGTCCAGAGTTGTAAGCTAGTCCTGCCTCCCATCTGCAATGATCCCTCACTTTTACCAAACAAAAGATTTTAAAGAGGTCTTACATCAATGCCTACAATTTTTTTTTCCAATCAAATGTAGAAAATGAGACCACTGCCAAGATGGAAGTGGAAAAGCAGAACTCCACTCTTGACCCATCTCTAAACTAGACAGCTGTTTAAGGCACCAAATATCCTAAAATCTTGGTAGTGCCTCAGTTTGCAGATGTATTGCCATGACATGTGCAAGATTATGCTCCAGTGATCGGAAGACTGTATGACCTTTGATACAAAATGAGCTGAGTACCTAGGTGTAGTGCTCACTAGTCAAATGAACACCCCTGAAGTTGATTATGCCTGTGAACCTAGAATCATGACCTTCATTAGGAGGGTCCTAACTTTACTGAATCTTTTGCTCTCTTATGTTATAAAAGAAGGGATTACATTTTGCAAGAGAAAATTATATTAGTTGAATTATAGGAGTACTCTTTGTTCCAATGATTTCCTTCTCAGACTGTGTTTTCATGGGCCTGAAATATTTTTTTTGCTACTTTTCACCTGAATAATTCTTGTTTATTTTTGTCAGATTTTAATTTAAGTATCATATCCTCAGAGCGTCCTCTCCTATCATCCAATTAAAATCAGGACTTCCTGTTTGACAACACCTTGTCATAGTACTTATCTAAAATAGATTTAGTTGTATGATTATTTATTTACGATACATGATCTCTAATAGATTATAATCTTCAAAAAGCCAGCGTTTTCATTGTATATCCAACAACTGTCGTAGTGCCTGGCAAATGGTAGATATTTGGTAAGTATTTGTTGGTGAATAAAACATAAAATTCCCCAAAATATGATAAACGGCTTACCAGTGATATGGATGTGATTAGTTTTCATAGATCCATTGGCAGTTGTGGGGACTTCTGAAAATGCTCTGGCTGTGCTGGTAAAGACATTGTCTAGAAATATAAAGGGGATATCTGGGCAAGACATCTCAACTTGATCAAGTGGTATAAAATCACGATTGGGTATCATGTGCTATTTGAAAGAGCTCGATTTAAATTGTCTAAGTATCCCTTAAATGTTATGTGTAAAGTTTATTAAGAACCAATTTACAGCAAGGCTGGGATGCTGAGATATATCTACAATTGCCAAAGGAATACAATTTCCTATTGGTTAAAAAAAAAAAAAAAGAAGCTCCACACTTTCAAACAACAAGATGATGTCTGCTAAAGAATCTCTGTGAGAAATTTAAGTGGTCCAGAAAAAGGCCAGAGTTGGGGGTCATGGAAAAGTGAGGCCCTATCCCCATTCTTTTGGTATGAGAGGTATCGCTGATCAAAGTACTGATTTCTCCCAATGCCAATGTGTTTGATAAGGTTAATAAAAATTCCTTTCCAACATTAGGCTAGACAAATCCATGTTGACGAATTATTCTGTTTTCCAATGAAAAAAAGGAAATGCATTTTTCATAGATATAACTGGTAAAAAATGCTATTATGCAGATTTTTTGAAATAAAATGTATAAAAATCTAAGGCTTGGTGTCTGAATATCTTCTTTGAATGTCTGGGAAGAATTTTGGTTCCATTCATTGCAATTTTCACCATCAAGGTGTACTTTTATATAAATCTATCTGATGCTAAGTTCTTGTTTTTACACCTTGTACCCAAATAAAGCTGACCACTACCTTCAATGTCCCTGGATCTTCCGCAGCTACTCACCATGAAGTGTTGAGCCTGCACCTGAGGGAGATGAACTGTGTGTTTCATGGGGTATCCGTGAAACTGCTAAAGAAGAAGATACTAGAAGAGTTAACCTATATAAGATGGTTATTCTATTATCTCTTCTTGATTGCTAATTGAATCTAATAATTATAAAAAAGGATATTAGTGAATACTTAAAGCAAAATCACTAAACTGTTCTGTAGCATACACTAGAATGTCCTCAAAGTGGGAGTTGAAGAGATTCTTGTAGTTCAGATGTCTATAATAAGAAAAGTTTTAATTATGGCCCCTTAGAAGCAGGAAAAGATATGGAAAGAAAACACTAGGAGATGTTCTTTTAGCCAGAGAGTGTGTCATGCTCATTTCATAGATGAGCCAAAAAAAAAAAAAAAAAAAAAGCAAAAACAAAAAAGTGGAAGAGAATAAAAGTCCAGATGTGTTATGGTGGCCTTTAGTCAAGAAAAGCTGCCAATGGGACTTTGAAGACCTTGCTAGAACATGCATAAGGGAAGAAAATACTTTGTGCTTGTGGGTCAGCTGACATTCTTGCTGAACTGTGAAAACGAAACGTGTTGGCAGTGAATTATCAGACCCCTGTGGTCACAGACCTTGTCAGCTGCTGAGTGAGTCCTTTTGAAGCATTTAGAAGCAAATCTTTCCCTTGAGTGGATGGCAGCGAACTCAGGCAGCACATATGGCTGTTGAAATAGATCTAACAACTCATTTTGTTTATTGCCCCATCTCTGGCAAGAAAGATTCACTCCTTGGCAGGCACCATGTATCTGTATCTGATAAAAGGCCTGCAGTGTAATGAAAAGTAAAATAACTATAGTACTACATGGTTGTAATCAGTACAAAGATATTACATCCATTCATTTAAAATATTAGCATACATGCTGTTCCCAGTGAAAAGCTTTCTTGTGTGTCAAGACCAAATCAAATGAGCAAAACCAAAACAAAACAAACCATATTCTTAGCCCTCTCTATTCTTTGTTTCTTCTTAGGTATCAACAGGAGTTGCAGCTGCTGACAAAGGTGTGTGATCAGGCTCTCCAGAAGAGGTGAGAGTCCATTGTTTATGGCTTGATTAGAGGACAGTTTGTCATAGCTATTTCCGTGTGGGTTTCATACACAACTTTTTTGCAATCTGCGTTCAGGGAGATGTTCTTATTTTCAATATAATTCTCTGATCCTGCATATGTGATCTTTATTAACTTGTCTAGACAGAATACCAAGGCCTATAGATGATGATGGACTAAGCATTTTTTAATGATTATGTCACTAGCCAGAATTTGATTTCCAAAGAAAAATAACTAATTGAAAAACAACTGGGACCAGGCCTAGATTTAGGTAAAATTATAAAGAAGGCAGTTTGTTCTGAATAACCTTGTAGTTTTTTTGCTCAATATGGTATGGCGTCTTCTTTAATTTCTTACTTTCTAACCTTGATGCCTTTATTTGTATCTCATCAAAATATGTTTGCAAGAAGGAATGGGATAAATTAATTTATGCTAAAGTCTATATGGCTGAATGAGTGCTATCCATTTAAGGAAAATGGGTATTTAAAAATATTTTCCATTTCATGTTTATTATCGGTGAATCAATATAGAACATTTTGTAATGGTTAGTGATGTGTGGACATTAATAGTTTTCACCAAGTATGCAGAGCCAGGCTTTTCTGATCAATATTGATTTTCCCCAAGCAAAATAACTTAACATAATTTTAGGAGATGGTGATACCATCAGCATGATTACAAATTACAAACATTACAACACTTAAAGTACGCAATTTTGTTTTTGTAATTTCATAAAACTTCTTTTTGGATTTCTACTAACATTCCCAATTTTAAAAGACTCCTAAAAATAAAGCCTGATAAAATTAAAAAACATAAGCCATTTTGGAAAAGTAGGGAATTATTTTTCTAATTTTTACTTTGAGGTTTTTTTGTTTTTGTTTTGATCTGTTAACAACATGTAGTGGGAAGTATGGTGAGAGAGGTGAAGAAAATGGAGTTTCCTGTTGATGAATTCCACATGTCTGAAAATACTTAAATATATGACGGTAAACTTTCAGAGCCAGAATTATATTATAAAAAATAGTCTTTTAGCAAGATGAAGAGATGAACAATTCTAGTATCACTTGCTCCTGCAGGAGGGAACATCCTGAAGAATGCTTGTTTACTGAATCCTCTTTAAGACAGAGTTGACTACTTCTAGCGATTCATCTTTTGATGAAACAATACTTTCCTGAATGCTTTTCCACTCTATCGTTTAGAGATCTAATTTTCAGAATGTGAAAATTTGGCTATTCTGTATGCCCTTTTAAAATCTTGGGAGTCTCAGCAGAATTATGTTGCTACTGTCTTTTAATTGACTGAAATGTTCTGTGTACTTCAAGGCAACATTATGTTCATTAACTGCATGACTTAATTCTCCTTTAAATCCTTTGAGTACACATTTTCACAAATCCACAAATGAACACTACTTTGACATTTGAATGATAAACACCAGCTTGACTGATAAACTTCTCTACAGTACCAATATATACTGCAAATATGAATGTTTTTCAGATACTGTGTTATTGAAGCTTCTCAAGTAAATTATTATATCCTTCCTTGAGCATAACATCAGACTCTTCCACAATTTCTTTAAATTTCGCTTTTGTAAAAGCTTGTTCAACAAAGACACTATGTTGGATAGTATACTATTCTACCATAAACGGGCACTTCTCTTAATGGTAACAGGTTTAACTGCAATAATAAAATATTTTTCTTTTAGTTGCAATATTAATAAAATTTTTCTTTTAGTCACCTTTTTCTTTTAGTTGCAATATTAATAAAATATTTTTCTTTTAGTTGCTTTTTTGACATTCACTTGTGACAAGTTTATAGTTGTCAATCATATTATAACACATTACACATCTTTTCCCTTTGTAGGAAAATCTACTTAGTGTCATAGCAAAGTCCATTATTATCTGAAGTTTGGCATCTTCCTTTAATAAAACCACAGATAATTTGTTATCTTTGCAGGGTTCTTGACGCAAACTGAACTTTTCTGGAATTCTTGCATCATTTTTACATGCACAGCAGACTTTTGGTGAGTCATTTCTTAGCTATCTAATATTCCTAAGGCATTCTGAGTTCTTCCGTTTTTGATTTTGTCCTCGAACAACAGTATAGGTGGCAAATAATATCCAGAGATACAAGGCCTGTCCACAGGAATCTTGATGATTTTGATTTTTTGTCTCATCTTCCTTTTCAAGGTGAATATGTACTGGGCCAGCACCACCTCTGCCACCAGGATGCACACACTGGTGCTAGCTTCTGTGACCACTTTTGCCATGTCCACCTGGTCCACAAATGCAGCTCTCATGCTCTTTCCGACAAAGATAACACTCACAAGTTTTGCACGTGTGGAGCTTGTGCCTTAACCATGGGGAAAACCATAGAAACTGTGCAGGCCTGACTTCATTGCACTTCACAGATACTGCTTTTTTTTTCTTTCTTTTTTTTTTTTTTTTTTTTTTTTTTCAAATTGAAGGTTTGTGGCAACCCTTTGTCAGGCAAGTCTATAGGTGCCATTTTTCCAACAGCATGTGCTCAATTCACATCTTTGTGCCACATTTTGGTAATTCTTCAAATATTTCAAACTTTCATATTATTGTTATATCTATTATGGTGATCTGTGATCAGGGATCTTAGATATTACCATTGAAATTGTTTTAGAGCACCACAAACTGCACCCATAGAAGATTGAGAACTTAATTGATAAATGCTGTGTATATTCTGACTGCTTCACTTATTTGTGGTTTCCCCATCTCTCCTCCTCTCTTTAGGCCTCTTATTTTTTTATCTGAGATACAACAATATTGAAATTAGGCCAATTAATAATCCTAAAACAGCCTCTGAGAGTTCAAAGGAAAGGAAGAGAAGCATATTTCTCACTTTAAATCAATTGCTAGAAATAATTAAGTTTACTGAGGAAGGTATGTCAAAAGCTGAGATAGGCTCAAAGCTAGGCCTTTTGGGTCAAATGATTAGCCAAGTTGTGACTGCAAAGGAAAAGTTCTTGAAGGCAACTAAAAGTGCCACCTCAGTGAACATATGGATGGTAACACTGCTGATATGGAGAAAATTTGAGAACATGTGGTGTTTAGTTATTTTGTTCCTGCATTAGTTTGCTGAAGATAACAGCTTTCAACTCCATCCATGTCCCTGCAAAGGACATGATCTCATTCCTTTTTATGACTGTATAGTATTCCATGATGTATACATATTGCTTTTTCTTTATCCAGTTGATTATTGATGGGCATTTAGGTTGATTCCCCGTCTTTGCTATTGTGAATAGTACTGCAATGAACATACCCGTGCATGCATCTTAATAATAGAGTGATTTATATTCATTTGGCTATACACTTAGTAATGGGATTGCTGGGTTGAATGATATTTCTGCCTCTAGGTCTTTGTGGAATCACCACACTGTCTTCTACAATGGTTGAACTAATTTACACTTCCACCAACAGTGTAAAAGCATTCCTTTTTCTACACAAGTTCACTAGCATCTGTTGTATTTTAGCTTTTTAGTAATAGCCATTCTGACTGGTGTGAGATGGTATCTCATTGCGGTTTTGATATGCATTTCTCTAATGATCAGTCATGTTGAGTTTTTTTCATATTTCTGCCACATGTATGTCTTCTTTTGAGAATTGCCTGTTCATATCCTTTGCCTACTTTTTAATGGGGTTGTTTTTTGCTTGTAAATTAGTTTAAGCTATTTATAGATGCTGGCTATTATACTTTTTTCAGAAGGATAGATGGCAAAAATTTTATCCCATTCTGTGGGCTGTCTGTTTACTCTGTTGATAGTTTCTTTTGCTGTGCTAAGCTTTTTAGTTTAATAGATCCCATTTGTCAATTTTTGCTTTCGTTGCAATAGCTTTGTCATCTTCTTCTTGAAATCTTTGCTTGTCCTATATCCTGAATGGTATAGGCTAGGTTTTCTTCTAGTTTTTTTATAGCTTTAGGTTTTACATTTAAGTCTTTAATCCATCTTGAGTTGATTTTTTTATATGGAATAAGGAAGGGATCCAGTTTCAATTTTCTGCATATGGCTAGCCATTTCTCCCAACAAAATTTATTAAATAGGGAATCCTTTTCCCATTGCTTGTTTTGTAAGGTTTGTTGAAGATCAGATAGTTGTAGGTGTGTGGTCTTATTTCTGGATTCTCTGTTCCATTTGTCTATGTGTCTGTTCTTGTACCAGTACAATGCTGTTTTGGTTACTGTAGCCCTGCAGTATAGTCTGAAGTCAGGTAGCATGATGCCTCCTTTGTTCTTTTTATTTAGGGTTGCCTTGGCTATTGAGGCTCTTTTTTTGGTTCCATATGAATTTTAAAAGTTTTTTTTTTTTCCAATTCTGTGAGGAATGTCAATGGTAGTTTAATGGGAATAGCAGTGAATCCATAAATTGCTTTGTGTGGTATGGGATTTCATGTTATTGAGTCTTCCTATCCATGTGCATGGAATGTTTTTCCATTCGTGTAATATCTGATTTCTTTGAGAAGGCTTGTGGTTCTCCTTGTAGAGGTTCTTCACTTCCCTTGTTAGCTGTATTCCCAGGTATTTTATTCTTTTTGTGGCAATTGTGAATGGGAGTTCATTTGTAATTTGGCTCTCAGCTTTCTTGTTGTTGGTGTATAGGATTGCTATCAATTTTTGCACATTCATTTTGTATTCTGAGCCTTTTCTGAAGTTGCTTTTCAGTTTAAGAAGGTTTTGGGGCCGGGCGCGGTGGCACAAGCCTGTAATCCCAGCACTTTGGGAGGCCGAGGCGGGTGGATCACGAGGTCAAGAGATCGAGACCATCCTGGTCAACATGGTGAAACCGCGTCTCTACTAAAAGTACAAAAAATCAGCTGGGCATGGTGGCACATGCCTGTAGTCCCGGCTACTCAGGAGGCTGAGGCAGGAGAATTGCCTGAACCCAGGACGCGGAGGTTGCGGTGAGCCAAGATTGCGCCGTTGCACTCCAGCCTGAGTAACAAGAGTGAAACTCCGTCTCAAAAAAAAAGAAGCTTTTGGGCTGAGACAATGAGATTTCCTAGACATAGAATCATGTTATCTGCAAACAAAGATACTTTGACTTCCTTTATTCCTATTTGAATAACTTTATTTCTTTCTCTTGCCTGACTGCCCTGGCCAGAGCTTCCAATACTATGTTGAATAGAAATGCTGAGAGAGGGCATTCCTATTCAACATAGTATTGGAACCACCTTGTCTTGTGGCCATTTTCAAGGGGAATGCTTCCAGCTTTTGCTCATTCAGTATGATATTGGCCTGTGGGTTTGTCATATATGGCTCTTATTATTTTGAGGTATGTTCCTTCAATTCTTAGTTTATTGAGAGTTTTTAACATGAAGGGATGTTACATTTTAATGAAGGTTTTTTCTGCTTTTTTGAGATAATCATGTGGTTTCTGTCTTTAGTTCTGTTTATGTGATGAATCACATTTATTAATTAGTGTAGGTAGAACCAGGCTTGCATCCTGGGAATGAAGCCAACTTGATCATGATGGATAAGCTTTTTATGTGCTGCTGGGTTTGGTTTGCTAGTATTTTGTTGAGGATTTTTGCATCGATGTCTATCAAGGATATTGGTCTGAAGTTATCTTTTTTTGTTGTATCTCTGCCAGATTTTGGATGAGGATGATGCTGGCTTCGTGGAACAAGTTAGGAAGAGTTTCCTTCTTTTCAGTTTTTTAGAATGATTTCAGTAGGAATAGTACCAGTTCTTCTTTGTTCCTCTGGTAGAATTCAGCTGTGAATCCATATAATCCTGAGCTTTTTTGGTTGGTAGGCTATTATTTACTGCCTCAATTTCAGAATTTGTTATTGGTCTATTCAGGAATTCAGTTTCTGATTGTCTTGGGAAGGTATATATGTCTAGGAATTTATCCATTTCTTCTAGATTTTTTAGTTCATTTGCAGAGAGGTGTGTATAGTATTCTCTAATGATTGTATTTCTGTGGGGTCAGTGGTAATATTCCTTTTATAATTTCTGATAGTGTTTATTCTTCTCTCTTTTCTTTATTAGTCTAGCTAGTAGTAAATCTATTTTATTAATCTTTTTCAGAAAACTAGCTCCTAGATTGGCTGATTTATTGAAAGGCTTTTTGTGTGTGTGTGTGTGTGTCTCCATCTTCTTCATTTCATCTCTCATCTTGGTTATTTCTTGTCTTCTGCTAGCTTTGGGATTTGTTTGCTACTGGTTCTCTAGTTCTTTTAGTTGTAATGTTATTTTTTAACTTGAGTTCTTTCTAGCTTTTTGATGTGAGCATTTACTGCTATCAGTTTCCTTCTTAGAACTGCTTTAGCTGTGTCCTAGAGATTCTGGTATGTTGTATTGCTGTTTTCATAAGTTTCAAAGAACTTCTTGATTTCTGCCTTAATTTCATTATTAACCCAAAAGTCATTCATGAACAGGTTGTTCGATTTTTATGTAGTTGTATGGTTTTGAGTGAATTTCTTAATCTTGAGTTCTCAGTTGATTGTGCTGTGGTCTGAGAGACTTTATCATTATTTCAGTTCTTTTGCATTTGCTAATTTGTGTTTTTATTTCTGATTATGTGATCAATTTTAGAGGAAGTGCCATGAGGTGATGAGAAGAATGTATATATTCTGTTGTTTTGGGGTAGAGAGTTCTGTAGATATTTATAAGGTCCACTGGATCTAGAGCTGAATTCAAGTCCTGAATGTCTCTGTTGATTTTTGTCTTGATGATCTGCCTAACATTGTCACTGGGGTGTTAAAGTCTCCTACTATTACTGTGTGAGAGTTTAAGTCTCTTTAAGAACTTGCTTCATGAATCTGAGTGGTCCTATATTGGGTACATATAAATTTAGTTTAGTTAGGTCTTCTTGATGAATTAAGCCATTTACCATTATGTAATGCTCTTTTTTTGTCTTTTCTTATCTTTGTTTAAAGTATGTTTTGTCAGAGACTAAGATTGCAACCTTTGCTTTCTTCTGTTTTCCATTTGTTTGGTAAAGTTTTCTCCATCCCTTTATTTTGAGCCTATGTGTCTTTGCAAGTGAGATGG